GTGGCATAACACTAGTCATGTGACCTTGCTGACTCAACAATATTATAAGTACAAGAACAATTCATTTACTACTAGCAGGTAAACTTGTCACTTTACAAAGTGAAATTTAGTATACCAATGCATTGCCTACATGGATAGTGCTTTGGAAAGGATGAGATATTGTACTCGTGCTCCTGGTACAAGCCACGACCTTCATGTAGTAATAAACATAGTATTTTACTGTACTGCAATATTAACAGCCGTAAAGGAAGGAGGAAGAAGTCCTGAACGTACCTGATTGTTCCTGGTACAAGCAAGAATAGACCTAAATACCAATAAAGAATTAAAGAAAGATTGTTAGATTCACAATGGACAAAGAGTAAAAAGAGATACATATTAGGTTAATGGACAAACACAAAATTTTCATGGATAAGCAGTTTCAGAATAGACAAACTGTAGATTAAAGCTACTTAGAATAAACAAATGTAGTTTCATGTTACAATTTGAAACCACTCCAGAAAGAAAAAATGGAATTTAGATTTATTCCGATTTTGTGTGTGTGTGGTTACAAGGTTGGTCAATTTGATCAATCCCACTATTCGTTGATAAAAGAGTACCCCAAGAGTTTGCGGTTGGTGGTGATGACTAGCTGCCTTCCTCTAGTCTTCCCACTGCTAAATTAGTGACGGCTAGCGCAAATAGCCCTCGTGTAGCTTTGCGCGAAATTCAAACCATATCAAAAGTTATAGTATTAAAATTATATACAATTAAAAAATGTTCACGTGGTCGGACCGAACCTATTGTTGCGTCAGCGAGGTCACGTGACTAGTATTATGCCGCTCGTTCTCTTCAACCTTCGTGAATTGTCGGGAGATTACTAAATATAGTGTTAGTCTTGTATATATATAAGATGGTCACAACGTGACGGAACAATGTGTGTAGGTAGTGAGTAATTGAACTGCAGTCAGAAAGTATTGTTGAAGTTAAATTGGTGTCAGAAGTGGGATGAAAAAAAATGGAAACGAGAGGCGGAATATCAACCTACAGCTTAGCAGATTTGATGGCAGCAATACAAGAGCAGCAAAAGAGACAAGAAGAACGAGAAAAGAAACAAGAAGAGAGACAACAGCAGTTGCAAGAAAACCTGCAACAGTGGCAGCTCGAACAACAAAGTAAACAAGAAGAGAGATTACAGCAGTTGTTAGAGGAAAAAGAAAAGAAACAAGAAGAGAGATTACAGCAGTTGTTAGAGGAAAAAGAAAAGAAACAAGAAGAAAGATTACAACAGTGGCAAGAAAACCTACAACAATGGCAGCTCGAACAGCAAAATAAACAAGAGAGATTACAGCAGTTGTTGAAGGAAAAAGAAAAGAAACAAGAAGAGAGATAACAGCACTTGTTAGAGGAGAAAGAAAATAAACAAGAAGAGAAATTACAGCAGTTGTTAGAGGAGAAAGAAAATAAACAAGAAGAACGAGAAAAGAGACAAGAAGAGAGACTACAGCAGTGGTAACTGGAACAAGAAAGGAAACAAGAAGTACAAATGGAAAACATTAGTAAATTTAAAAGCGATCTATTGTCTTTTACACAAGGAGGATACATTAACCATCGACTTAATGAGCCCCAGACAATGGCAAGCCCCTTACAGAGCCCGCAGCTAAACCCTAATGCAGACATATTCAGTCTCGTTAGAAGTCGCATCCCAGATATGAATGTTAGCAATAGGAGTGATCCAGTGCGCAGGAAGCCACAGGAATATGATGGGAGAGCACCGTGGGAAGCATATAGAGCACAGTTTGAGCTACTGGCAGAGATGAATGGATAGACAGAGGAGCAGAAAGCTGTATATCTGGCAACGAGCTTGAAGGGACAACCACTGGAAATACTTGGACAGTTGACAGCAGCCGACAGACACTGGTAGAGGCTCTGGAACTCAGGTACGGACCCCAAAATCAGTCAGAAGTCTACAGGGCTAGGTTTAGGACGAAAATCCGTGCTAAAGGGGAGAGCCTGCAAGAGCTGGCACAAGACTTGGAAAGCATGGCACACAAGGCCTACCCAACTGCACCACCCGATCTCCTCAAGTTGTTGCTGCGGGATCAGTTCGTAGATGCCTTGGACAGTCCACAACTTAAGATACAAGTGAAGCAAGTACACCCCTCTACCATGCAGGATGCAATGGCCAGAGCTCTCGAATTTGAATCCTATGTTAAGTCCAGCACAGAGGTACCGAGGTTGGTACAGTCATCTGGATTCAAGGCCAGAAAAGGTCAGCTTTCAGAGAAGTTTGAGGGACTTTGCTGGCACTGTAACAAACCTGAGCACAAGAGAGCTCAATGCTGGCAACTTCAATACAGGGGAGGTGCCACAGCAGGAAAGGCTGGTATCCAGAAAGGTTGTTGGAACTGTGGAAAGCACGGACATTTGAGGAGCCAGTGTAGGAAGAATATTACCAACAAGTCGGCCTCAAGGAGACCAGTAGTGGTTGGTGTTGAGCGACGCCCACCAACCCCCATTGTGAAAGCTAGGTGTAAAATATCAAGCACACACAGTGTCTATGTGACATGAAAGCTAGATGGCCAAAGGTGCAACTTTGTCATAGACTCTGCATCTCAGAGCATCAAGGTGATAGATCACGAAGGAGTACCAGAAGCCATACAGAAGCTTTATGGTGTGATAGGACATTCTACAAGATTGTGGGGACCAGTGTGGGTAACTATTGAGCT